CCCCAAACCTTAAAAAAATCGAGAAGCAATCGCTTCAAAGACCACGGTAGTTTCGCCACTGAGCAGTATGAACTACATGCTATCTTGAAATTAATTAATTTATGTATATTTTTTGTTTAATAAAATCAATACATTCATTGCTGTTTAGAATCTAGAATATATTTATTTCTATGATTCGTGAAAAATAACATATAACCTAACTGTGTATTAATAATTATATATAAATATATACAATATGACCAATAATGTGTACAATTTTTTTAAATAATACCTAATTTAATAGTTTAATTKTAATAGTTATATATTTAATTATTGTAATTTGAATTTTTTTCCCGTGGGCTTTTTCCCTGGATTTTTTTTCTTGGTTTTGTTCCGTGGATTTTCCCTACATTCAATTTGGATATTATTGATATACAAATATCTATACTATATTTAAACTGGTAGTTTCAAAAATCGATGTTGCCTAATAACAAACAGAAACAATGAACACTCGTTACAGATTCTTGTTCTTTAAATTCAAAGAACTAAAGAAGGAACTCGATCCAAATCTAGTTCCTCGTATGAGGACGTGATACCCACATAGGTTTTTCCCGTCTTACAAGYGCGTAAGATTGTAAATTTTATGCTTATGTGATTAGATCATGTATAACTTCGTAGTCCGTTTGTTAATTTGTTTAAAATTTAGAGTAAATTGACCTTCTACAAAAATTCTATCAATATATCATCTCATGAGCTTTTTATTTTAATTGCAATATAATTATTTAGTCCGTACAGCGTATTCCAGATTTTCTTCATAAATAAATAATTTTTTTTTATTACTATAGCGTGATTAACATAATATACAAATTCCGCAGCTAGAATAAGAATAATTGAAAAAAGCGATAACAAATCAAAAAAAGCATTTATTTTATACAAAAATAAGCCAAAAAAAGGGAAATTAAATTGGTTTACTTGGAATGAAAATGACGTGAACCGAATTTATGTATAAAAATTAGATTTTTATCTCTTATTGTATAAAAAACAAAACATTTATTTTGCTTTAAAATCCGAGTCTTATTTTATTATGCTTTAAAACACGAGCTATTATTAAATATTAATATCTTAATTCGTGGTAATAACTAATAACTTACATACTATTACGTCATATAAGTTATTAGTTATTACCACGAATTAAGATATATATCTTAATTCGTGGTAATTTTCCATAGACCTATAGGTCTATGTAATTTTCTTCATAATTGTGATAAGGATTAAGGTTAGGTCACAGATATATACAATAATCACAATATAAAAATGTATATATCTGTGGGTTAGGTACTTCTGATGATAGTTAATACCCGTGGTTTATACTATCAATTACCATTTATCATTGTTTAATTTGAATTATGGGCCTTTATGGATTCAACTATATACTACACTACTACACTCTATAAAAATTGTACAAGTGTGAAGGGTACATAATGTAGTAAATTACAGCTGCCCTTTAATTATCTACACTATAAAACCTGTAAGTTCGTWGTCCGTATACTCCAGTCTTCAATTCTTAATACTCATCTTTGCTAATAATCAGTCAATCAGTGATACCTGAGATTTCTCAATATTTACATTTTACAAAAATGGATTCCAAATCAAAAAAATATGAAATAATTGAATTTTTGGGCGAAGGACAGGTAATATGAAWTTAATTATTGTAATTGTTTTAAACACTTGTACAATTGCATAACCGACTTGAAATAAGTTATATTATTTATWATCAAATATTAATGTCATTTCTTAATTTGTAAAATATAGTTTGCCACAGTATATAAAGCTAAGGATTCAGTTACCGACAAAATTGTTGCTGTTAAAAAGGTAATTTTTATGAGACCTATCTATAAACTATAGTTGTACAATATATTCTAGATTACGGTTTTTTTTTCACTAGATTAAACTTGGTACTGCAGAAGACGCCAAGGATGGTGTTAATCGTACAGCTCTCAGAGAAATAAAACTTCTTATTGAACTTTATCATGAAAATATCATTGCTTTGTTTGGTATACTATTGAATAATTTAATACATAATCATTCTAAAGATTATTAATGTATTTGTACCTTTTTTTAAACCTTTTTTTTTAGATGTTTTTGGTCATTTGTCAAATATTTCTTTGGTGTATGACTTCATGGACACAGATCTTGAAGTCATTATTAAAGATTCATCAATTGTATTCACTCAGTCCCACATTAAAGCTTATACAATAATGACACTTAAAGGATTGGAATATTTACATATGAATTGGATTTTACATAGAGTRAGAATTGCTTTTACTTCATCCAATACATTTATAATTTAAACTGTGATACTAATTTTTTATAGGATTTAAAACCAAACAATTTATTAGTGAATAAAAAAGGTATATTAAAAATTGCTGATTTTGGATTAGCCAAACGATTTGGAACACCAGATCGCTTACATACACATAGGGTAGTCACTAGATTTTATAGAGCACCAGAACTGCTATTTGGTGCGCGAGCATATGGACCGGCTGTTGACATTTGGGCAGTTGGCTGTATAGTAGCAGAACTTTTACTTAGAGTTCCATTTTTACCTGGTGAATCTGATTTAGACCAGTTAACCAAAATATTTACCACCCTAGGATCACCAAATGAAGAGACTTGGCCGGTAACAATCTTAAATGATCCTTATTATATTATAAATATGAAATATTTGCTGCTTGCATATTTTATCAYATCTTTTAAAACACTATGWAATTTTATCTATTAAATCTTTTTTTAGGGTGTTGCTAAATTATCTGATTATGTGGTATTCAAAAAATTTCCGGCAATTCCTTTAAGAGAAATATTCACAGCAGCTCCAAATGAATTACTAGATGTAATTGGTGGTATGCTTAATGTGAATCCCTTGACAAGACCTACAAGTTCTGAAGCATTGCAAATGCCATACTTTAGGTAAATAAAACATTGGATTTATACATTTTTAATTGTTTAATTCTTGTATTTTTACTAATTCTTCATATCCATTTCAGTAATCGACCACCACCTTCTTTAGGTAGTCAACTACCATTACCATCCTGTATCAGAGATAGTAATMCAGAAGATCAGGACCAGGATGCTAAAGGACAAAAAAGGAAATTCACTGATTATTCAGAAGGAGGTGATTATAATTTTGATTAAAATATTAAATGATTCTTACACATTTAAATGTCCATTATTTATATTTAATTTTACAAATAATAATAATATTATTAATTTTTTGATTTGTTTCAGGAACACAACCAAAACGTTTAGTCTTTGATAACTTTGCWTGAGTATGTTAGGCATACCAACAAAAAATAATTTCTTACATTTAAGTTTTATACTATATTTTTGTACACATTAAAATTAATTTAAATATCATCATCATTGTCTTTATCATTAGTTATTATAGAAGGTATGCACGATTTATCTGAAAGAACACCATGTTCAATTAAGAAGTTTTCTACATCACCAGCATAAAAGTCATCTCCTAGCTCGTCTGTAATTCGCACAAAGTTTCCAACAAGTTGTCCCGCTCTATATGCAAGTAAAGCTGGTACACCACACATTTTGAAGTTTAAACTCATACCAGCACTTGAACCAATWAGTTTACAAAATTTTGTTTTTTGAAATTCACGGCATAGAACTTTCAAACATGAATTCATGATTGAACATGTTGGCACACTGTGTTCATAAACATGCACAATGACTGTTACATAAGGATTTTCATTCTCAACTGCTACTAAAAAGTCATCTCCAGTTAATAAGTCAAAGACTTTACCAAATTCTGGTGCTTCTTGAGTCTTGGCCATCATTTCCTTCATTCGTTTTTTGCGATATTCAGCTAGAAACTGATCATCTAATTCTTCAGCTTCTGACTTGCATGTTAGAGCCATATCATTTATTTGCTTTAATACATTTTTTTCATGCTGTACCCTCTGAGCAGATTGTTGTCGTTTGTATTGTTCCCAATCATTAAGTACTCCTTTTGGTCCGGTATTTGAYGATGTCCCGTCCCAGTCTGACTTAGACTGTTTAGGAGGATCCCTGTCAAGCATTGGCTCATCTTCATCGCTGCTACTACAGTAATAATGAAGTTTTTCACCCAKCAATTTACTTTCTAAATCCGTCATGGTGAATAAATTAAGAGGTAAAAGTGAATCACTGTATATTATGTTTTTAATACTTAAATTCTCAAAGCTTTGGACCACWGACCACTAATGTAGTAGTGTTAGTGTCAACTGTCAAGTGAATGGTAAACATTAATCAATACTATTAAAATGATTATGTTATCACAGTTACACCACAGAATAAGGTATTTAGTAAAAAGTGGCAACACTGTATGTAAAATAAAATCACAACTATAGTCAAATAATCATTCCATTTATTCATGTTTAATAGTGCAATAGTCAGACCAAGTTGGATTWTTAATATAATAATATTATAAAATTATATTTATATTAATAAATCCACCTTGAGTCAGAATAAAAAAAAAAATAGTACTCTTAGTTCTTACTCTAGAATTGTTGAATATTATAAATATTATAATGATAAATGATTAATAGTTATTCCTATTAGTTTATCAGGTTATATCTTTATATCGTTAGGTAAATATATAATAAAAATATATAAATAATATGAATTCTGCTAAAACTAAAGGAGAAGACTTACATTTCCTTTTTACTTACTAAATAGGTTGAACAAGTAAAATACAAACACTAAAAACCTTGAATTAAGATAGAAGTTTAACTAGATATCACTGGATACTTATAGAATTTATACCACAAATTAAGATATTAAAGTAACCACTTTTTACCCATCTAAGATGTTTGTTTAAAAAATACATTACTAAATTAAAATATATATTTAATAATAAAATTGTTTRCCTACCTAGCACTCACATATCAAATGACAATTACCATACGTAATTACTAATATTCCAATGACAATGAATTACCAGTGTAATAGAAAAGTAAAAGTGCTCAGACTAAGCGTTTAGAAAATAAGAGCTATTAATTACACTAATTATTGATGTAAAAAAAGGGTGATTACTATCCCTACATACTATTCTTATTCTGTGATACTATATTTCACACTACTTTAACTAATAATAATTTATGCATGCCAAATACTAAACAAACAGTATAAATTGTGTTATTATTTGTTATTTATACAATAGTATAAATATTTAGGAAGTACTACACTGTGACCAGTGAGAGTAGATGTTGGATAGTAACAAGACACAGCATAGCCATAGCAGAGAGCCTTCACACAAWAAAGACGATTACTAACTAACAAAAATTTTAGTCTTRAGAAAAAATCATTAAAAGCWTTGTATAGAGTACTTGTACTTTGTTGTATGGTTGTGGAATCTGGACTTTATAGACAAGATAAAAAAAAAAATGAAGCAATGGAAATATTAACCTGAAAAGGATTACTATGTATTAGTTGGTCTGAAAGGAAGCGTAATGAAGAAATTCTCCAAATATTAAAGAAGAAAGTATTATTATCCATCATAATATTAAGAAGCGGAAAATGTATGAAACATAACATAACCCCTTTATGACCAACATAAYGGAAACATGAATCAATGGATGCAAAATAAGAGGAAGACATTCTAAGGTGAAATGATTTAAATGGATGAATGTGATGGGTATTCAAATGAAGACTCTGGTGTTAAAAAGAGAAGAATGGAAGTCATTTTTTTGGTGTCACGAGGATTAGCCTTTAGAACAGCAGAAGATATGCTAAACACTTGAATATAATTTGATATTACATTTAACCTATAATGTTAAGCAAATAGACTTGTCTCATTAAAAATAATGATTTAATACTATCTTATACATGTAATAGATTTACATTTATTAAGTGAAAATCACATTCAGGAATCATGCCACTAAATATTTGTCATAGATATTCATGAAATTTTTTTTCCTTTACATAGTAAGTATACAAAAAACATTTTTTAATAACTATTTAACATTTCTGTTTTAATTTTAATGATTTCCTGGGTTTGTTTATATCTTTTAACTAAGTCTTTATATTGTGGACCATCTACAGTCTTATATTTATCTTGTAGTTTCTGCAATTCCTTAAACTTTGCCAAATCTGTTTCATATTCTTTTTCTTTAGCATTGTAGTATTTTTCCAATGACTCGTATAAATCTTTTGAACAAGAAAATTTACTGATGATATCACTCTGCAACTTACTAATAAAAGTGATTAAACAAATTGAAATTACAATTCAAAAGTTATTTCTTACTTTGAAATAGCTTTAATAGCATCTACTTTTTTTGATAATTGTTGAGCTTCTAAAATATTGACATAGCTACTATCCAATAATTTAAGCATTGCATGTTGTATCTCTTTTTGATTKTTTGTGTACTTATTCAAAAGGGTCAACATATTATTTAATTTATTTTTTATAGTATCTGGCATAACTGATTCAGATTCAATTAACTTTAACAAATCTAAAAAAAAACAATAAAATAATATAGATATTAGGCTTTTATATGCATAGAATTTAGTTTAATAACTAGTGTACCTGCGGGGATAGATTCTTTTTCGTAAGTAATTAAAGCACACTCCTTTTGTATGCATTCCTCAATGCATTTTTCAAATTCAATTTTATCATCGGCTGACAACTCCTTTACTTTGTAGTGTGATTCATCATTTTTAAAAAGTCGATAATGAGTAGTTATATCTATACATTTTTTTCTCAACTCATCATCCTTAATATGATACAATGAGTTTACAAATATGCGTTGTTTAAGAGCTTCTAATTCATTTAATCGTATCTCATTAGTAGTTTCTTCTTTCCCGTAAGATTTCTGTGCAGGAACTTGATCACCGCGAATCATTTTTTCAAATTTTTTTATTTTAAGAGCCATCATATCAGTTAAAAATAAATCGATTGATATAAAAAAAAAAAAAAATGTTTGAATTAAGAAATTCACAGTTCAATGTTTACAAAATTGAAAAAAATTTAACCGCTTAATGCTTAAGTAATGAATTGATTGGTAGACGGAAATTTAAATTGAATATTCTATTATCTAATATCATCTTTTGACTTTTYACGGTAATCTGATAATATAACAGTAGATTCTATGTTATCTCATATTTCTATGATTCTTGCCATGAAATCTGTTAATACTATTAATTTATTATGGTTCATTCCAAGATCTTTATATCAAAGTTGATTAACCGAGTCGTGAAAATATGCGATGTCTGCCGTCCTGGTCAATCTCAATTGAGTTGTAGTTTGATCACTAATCTTTATTCTGTGTCTATAAATTAATTAACAACATTTATCATTTATATTAAATTTATTTTCACGTTTAATATACCGTAATTTACTTGGAAAATACTGTAAGAAAAATAATTGAGGTATTACTTTTGTCAACTGTACAATAGATTAAGCAATAATATGAAAAGTACAAATGACAGATGTTCAACAATAATGCGGTTTTCTGTCTTTTTTTTTTTCAGATATTTTAAAATGGAAAACGTATTAGAAAAACAATTATTGAAAGTGGCAGAATCAATTGAGCAAAAGCTTGATCAAGAGATACAGAAACTTGATGAGTTGGATTTAGATAGTATTGAAAATATACGAGAACACCGCTTGCAACAAATGAAAAAAATGATCAAACAGAAGGAAGAATGGATGGCTAAGGTAAAACTTATTTTATATATTGGACTATAATTTCCTTATTTATAAAATATATTTCTTAGGGACATGGAGAATATGAAGAATTGAGTGATGAGAAAAGTTTCTTCGAAAAATCAAAACTGAGTCCAAACATGGTGTTACACTTTTATAAAGACGGATCAACTCGATGCAAAATAGTTGATCATCATTTAAAAATATTATGTGCACAACATTTGGAAACACGTTTTGTTAAGCTAAATGTTACTCGTTTTCCTTTTCTGACAGAGCGCATGAAAATCCGTGTCATACCAACCATTGTGTCAATAGTAGATAGTATATCCAAAGACTTTATTGTTGGTTTTACTGAATTGGGGAATTGTGATGATTTTTCAACTGAGATGTTGKAATGGCGTTTAGCACGATCACAAGTTATTGATTACAAGGGAGACTTACTTAACCCTCCAGATGTTGTCAAGAACAACAGAACAATGTTATTAGAGAAAAATAAGACAATAAGAGGTTATGTAGGAAATGATTCAGATGGTCTTGATTCTGATTGATCTGGTCTAAAATGTTAAACTAATATACTAATAAAATACTTAAATAAACTAATATAAATCATAATTTTTTTTTTTTTTAACTTATAATATTGTTAATCTTACTTAACCTCTATTGTAGAGTATTTTTTACATTCCTACGATGTTTTTCATACATTTAGTGAATACCTACAGCATTTATTTAACGTACGTGTCCCCAGCCCCCCCACATCGGATATTTCAAWTTTTTTTTTGGCAAAAAATTAGCATGTAATTAGCATGTATTTGCATGCTAACTTTTGTAATTTGCACGCGCTTTAATTAGGC